GTCACTTTAGCAAGTAAATAAAAATAATCTGTCAATTTTCTGTGAACAAACCACACCATTGTTTATGCTTTAGGACATTTGCTCCACTTAAACTGTCACTATCATTAAATTTTAATTAAAACCTCTTTACATCCCATGGCAGTGTCATCCAAGCAGGTACTTAGTGGTGATGTCAGTGCTTGTTGGAAGAAGTGAGATACTGCAACATGCTATGAATGGAGACCACGTTGTGGTTGTGGAGACTAACCACAACCATGTGCAGTATAGTTGATTGAGAAGAGAACATTCTGAAATTTTAGTGGAAAGTCAAACAAATTGAAAGCAGTAATTAAATAAAAACATGCAATATGTTTTTCAAAAATATCCTTTAGTCCTAGGGGAAATTAATAGGAGATAATGTGATTTTGAATCTTGCATAGTCTTCAGAAACACAGCCCACACACACAGTGCTTACTCAGAGTTGGCATGAATAAAGCAGTTAGGGGAATTTGTCTTGTGTGTGTGTAGGGGGGGTTCTCCGTTCTTTTTGTATATGTATCAGCGTTTTGTCTTTTAAAAATATGCATAGATGTTACAAAAATAGGATCACACTTTACATTTTCTTGTGCGATTTGCATTTTTTCATTTCTCAATGGATTAGACACCTCCCCCGTGTAGTTAGCACAAATTATCATTTTCAGTGTCTCCCCAAATTCTACTTACATATCACCACGATTTATCTTATTTATACTTACTGAAAGATTTTTAGATTATTTCCAAAGTTTTGCAAATGTAAATGGCAATGTGAAGAACATTCTTATATTTACATCTTTGCACAAGATTAAGGCTATGATCATTTGTAATTTTAAAATTTTAATATAATGAGGCCTTCAGAAAAATTTTATGTATTATGCTCACACCAGAATTGTATAAAAAATATTTTTCCAAATTTCTCCAACCCTGAGTAATAGTATTCTTTAAATATTGGCCAAACGTATAGGTCAAAATGATGCTACATGTGTTATAATACTACTTTTTAAAAATTTATAGTAAAGAGAAACATTTTTGATAAATTTATTGTCCTATGTATTTCCTCTCTAATTGTTTATTTATATCTTTGCTCTATTTGTTCTCAGTGAAAACTTTTTATTTT